GTGATGCATATGCGATCACCCTGCCATCTTGCATCAATACTGCACCTAGCCCAATACGAGATGCATCACAATACACCGTGTAAGATCCTAAACCCATGGGAAACACCAACACCGGAGCCCAAGTCAAAGCAGTCTTGAGCTTCTGAAAGCTCGTCTCACACTCGTATGACAATCTGAATGGGGCACTCCTCTGGGTCAATCTGGTCAATAGGGCTACAATAGATGAGAACCCCTCCATGAACCGGTAGTAATAGCCCGCCAAATCCAGGAAACGCCAGATCTCTGTAGCTGAAGCAGGTCTTGGCTAGTTCTAAACTGCCTCAATCATCTTATGATCCACTTTTATGTCCTCTACCGATACAAAGTGCCCCAAAAAGGCGACTGAGTCCAACCAAAACACGCACTTTGAAAACATGGCATATAACAGGCTTTCCCTCAGAGTATAAAGTACAATCCGAAAATGTTGTTCGTGCTCCTTTCAGCTGCGGGAGTAGATCAAGATATCATCAATAAATACAATCACAAATGAATCCACGTAGGGCTTGAACACCCGGTTCATCAAATCCATAAATGTTGTTGGGGCATTTATCAGCCCAAATGACATCACTAGAAACTCATAATGCCCATACATAGTCCGAAAAGTTGTCTTAGAAAAATCGGATGTCTTAATCTTCAACTGATGGTAGCCATACCTCAAATCAATCTTCGAAAACACCTAGGCACCCTAAATCTGATCAAATTAGTCATCAATCCTTGGCAAGTAAAATCCTTGTTGAGTTTGACTAAGCTGAAATCTAACACATGAGACTGGTCACCGTGATACTTTCGTAGCATAGACTAATGGAACACCGGATGGACTGTTGATAAACTAGGTGGCAATGCGAGCCTGTAAGGCACCTCACCACTCTCTAAAGAATATCAAAGGGTCCATTGTACCTAGGGCTAATCTAGCCCTTTTTCCCGAACCTCATCACACCTTTCATGGGTAAAACCAGAAGGAATTTGCTCTCTCCAACCATGAATGCAACATCTCGAACTCTACGGTCGCCATAGCTCTTTTGCCTAGACTGAGCTGTGTGGAGTCGATCCTGAAAAATGATGATCTTTTCCAAGGCATCGTATGCCAAATTTGTACCCAACAACTGAGCCTCTCTCGGCTCGAACTATCCAACTGGCGAATGACATCTCCTCCCGTATAATGCCTCAGAGGGAGCTATCTGAATGCTCGAATGGTTGTTGTTGTTGTAGGTAAACTCTGCAAGCGGCAAGAACAGATCCCAAGAACCCCCGAAATCCATAACACAAGCACGAAGCATATCCTCAAGTATTTGAATAGTGTGCTTGGACTGTCCGTCCGTTTCAGGATGAAATGTTGTTCTCAATTGAACCTGCATGCCCAACTAACATTGTAATGCTCTTTAGAAGTGCGAGGTGAACTACGTACATCGATCAGAAATGATAAACACGGGCACTTCGTGAAGATGGATGATCTCGTGGATGTAAATCTCATCCAACCGCTGCGAAGAATAGGAAACTACCACATGAATGAAATAAGTTGACTTGGTCAGCCTGTCCACAATGACCCATACCGCATCGAATTTCCTCTGAGTCCGTGGGAGTTTAACAACAAAATCCAAAGTGATATGCTCCCACATCCACTCAGGAATCTAAAACTTCTGAAGCAAACCACCAGGTCTCTGATGCTTGTACTTTACTTGCTCAAAATTTATACACCGAGCTACATATGCAACTATATCCTTCTTCATCCTCCTCTACCAATAATGATGTCGCAAGTCCTGATACATCTTGGCAACGCACAGATGAATAGAATATCGGGAACTGTTGATCTCCTCAAAAATCAACTCACAAAGCCCATACATATTAGGCACACAAATACGATTTTGCATCCTCAAAACCCCATCATCTCCAACAGTAACCTTCTTGGCACCACCGTCCCACACTATGTCCCTGACGACAACCAAATGTGGGCCATCACACTTCCGCTCTCTGATGTGCTCATACAGGGAAGACCGGGCAACTGTACAAGCTAGAACATATCTGCACTCGGAAACGTCCAACCATACGAATTGATTGGCCAAAGGCTGAACATCTGATGCAAGAGGTCTCGCACCAACTAAGATATACGCAAGGCCGACCATACTCACTGTCTTTCTACTCATGGCACCGGCCACCACATTGGCCTTTCCGGGGTGATACAAAATGGTGAAATCATAGTCTTTCAACATCTACAACTGCCTCCTCTGCCTCAAGTTGAGATACTATTGCTTGAACAAATATTGTAGGTTTCGATGATCCGTGAATACCTCGCACAACATGCCATAAAGGTAGTGCCTCCAAATATTCAGCACATGTACAATGGTTGCCAACTCCAAGTCATGAACATGGTAATTCTTCTCATGAACCTTCCCATGCCGCGATGCATATACGATCACCCTGCCATCTTGCATCAATACTGCACCTAGCCCAATACGAGATGCATCACAATACACCGTGTAAGATCCTAAACCCGTGGGCAACACCAACACCGAAGCCCTAGTCAAAGCAGTCTTGAGCTTCTGAAAGCTCATCTCACACTCGTATGACCATCTGAATGGGGCACCCTTCGGGATTAATCTTGTCAATGGAGCTATTATAGATGAGAACCCCTCATCGAACCGGTGGTAATAATTCGCTAAACCCAGGAAACTTTGCATCTCTGTAGCTGAAGTAGTTCTTGGCCATTTCTGAACTGCCGCAGTCTTTTTAGGATCAACTTTTATTCTCTCTACCGATACAACGAGCCCCAAAAAGGCGACCAAGTCCAACCAAAACTCGCATTTTGAAAACTTGGCATATAACTGGCTATCTCTCAGAGTATAAAGTACAATCCGAAAATATTATTCGTGCTCCTCTCAGCTGCGGGAGTAGATCAAGATATCATCAATAAATACAATCACAAAGGAATCTAGGTAGGGCTTGAAAACCCAGTTCATCAAATCCATAAATGTTGTTGGGGCATTTAATAGCCCAAATGACATCAGTAGAAACTTATAATTCCTATAGCTAGTCGGAAAAGTCGTCTTAGGAAAATCGGATGCCTTAATCTTCAACTGATGGTAGCCAGACTTCAAATCAATCTTCGAAAACACCTTGGCACCATGAAGCTGATCAAATAACTCATCAATGCTTGGCAAGTCAAATCCTTATCCAATTGGACTGAGGTGAAATCTAACGCATGGGAATGATCACCGTGATACTTCCGGAGCATAGACACATGGCACACCAGATGGACTGCTGATAAACTAGGTGGCAATGCGAGCCTGTAAGGGACCTCACCACTCTCTGAAGAATATCAAAGGGTCCATCGTACCTATGGCTAAACTTTCCCTTCTTCCCGAACATTATCACACCCTTCATGGGTGAAACCCGGAGGAACTTGCACTCTCCAGCCATGAATGCAACATCTCGAACTCTATGGTTGGCATAGCTCTTTTGCCTATACTGAGTTGCGCGGAGTCGATCCTAAAAAATCTTGACCTTGTCCAAGGCATCCTGTACCAAATCTGTACCCAACAACCGAGCCTCCCCCGGCTCGAACCATCCTACTGGAGAACGACACCGCCTCCCATATAATGCCTCATAGGGAGCTATCTGAATGCTCGACTAGTTGTTGTTATTGTAGGTAAACTCTGCAAGTGGCAAGTACTGATACCAAGAACCCCCGAAATCCATAACACAAGCACGAAGCATATCCTCCAATATTTGAATAGTGCGCTCGACGTTTGAGGATGAAATGTTGTGCTCAACTGAACCTACATGCCCAACTCACGTTGTAATTCTCTCCAGAAGTGCGAGGTGAACTACGTACCGCGATCAGAAATGATAAACACGGGCACATCCTGAAGACGGACGATCTCGTGGATGTAAATCTTAGCCAACCACTGTGAAGAATAGGAAACTTCCACAAGAAGGAAATGCGTTGCTTTGGTCAGCCTGTCCACAATGACCCATACCGCGTCGAACTTCCTCAGAGTCTGTGGGAGTCCAACAACAAAATCCAAAGTGATATGCTCCCACTTCCACTAAGGAATCTAAAACTTCTGAAGCAAACCACCAGGTCTCTGATGCTTGTGCTTTACTTGCTCACAATTTATACACTGAGCTACATATGCAACTATATCCTTCTTCATCCTCCTCTACTAATAATGCTGCCGCAAGTCCTGATACATCTTGGCAGCGCCCAGATAAATAGAATATCGGGGACTGTGGGCCTCCTCAAGAATCAACTCACAAAGCCCATCTATATTAGGCACACAAACACGATTTTGCATCCTCAAAAGCCCATCATCTCGAACAATAACCTTCTTGGCACCACCGTGCCACACTATTTCCTTGAGGACAAGCAAATGAGGGCCATCATACTTCCGCTCTTTGATGCGCTCATACAGGAAAGACCGAGTGACTGTACAAGCTAAATAATGTCTGGACTCAAAAATATCCAACCTTACGAACTGATTGGCCAAAGGCTGAACATCTGATGCAAGCGGTCTTGCACCAACTAGGATATACGCAAGGCCGACCATACTCACTGTCTTTCTACTCAAGGCACTGGCCACCATATTGGCCTTCCCGGGGTGATACAAAATGGTGATATCATAGTCTTTCAATAGATCCAACTACCTCATCTGCCCCAAGTTGAGATACTATTGCTTGAACAAATATTGTAGGCTCCGATGATCCGTGAATACCTCGCACGACACGCTATAAAGGTAGTGCCTCCATATCTTCAGCGCATGTACAATGGTTGCCAACTCCAAGTCATGAACATGGTAATTCTTCTCATAAACCTTCACCTGCTGCGACGCATATGCAATCACCCTGCCATCCTGCAACAATATTGCACCGAGCCCAATACGAGATGCATCACAATACACCGTGTAAGATTCTAAACCCGTGGGCAACATCAACACCGGAGCCCTAGTCAAAGCAGTCTTGAGCTTCTAAAAGATCAGCTCATACTCGTATGACCATCTGATTGGGGCATCCTTCGGGGTTAATCTGGTCAATGGGGCTACTATAGATGAGAATCCCTCCTTGAACCGGTGGTAATAACCCGCCAAACCCAGGAAACTCTGGATCTCTCTAGCTGAAGTAGGTCTTGGCCCGTTCTGAACAGCCTCAATCTTCTTAGGATACACTTTTATGCCCTCTACCGATACAACGTGCCCTAAAAAGGCGACTGAGTCCAAGCAAAACTCGCACTTTGAAAACATGGCATATAACTAGCTATCTCTCAGAGTATAAAGTACAATCCAAAAATGTTGTTCGTGCTCCTCTCAGCTACGGGAGTAGATCATGATATCATCAATAAATGTTGTTGGGGCATTTAATAGCCCAAATGACATTAGTAGAAACTCATAATGCCCATACCTAGTCTGAAATGTTGTCTTAGGAAAATCGGATGCCTTAATCTTCAACTGATGGTAGCCAGACCTCAAATCAATCTTCGAAAACACCTTGGTACCATGAAGGTGATCAAATAAGTCATCAATCCTTGCCAAGTCAAATACTTGTCCAATTCGACTAAGCTGAAATCTAACACATGGGACTGATCACCGTGATACTTCCGTAGCATAGACATATGGCACACCGGATGGACTGTTGATAAACTAGGTGGCAATGCAAGCCTGTAAGTCACCTCACCAACATCAAAGGTTCCATCGTACCTAGGGCTAAACATGCCCTTCTTCCCGAACCTTATCACACCCTTCTTGGATGAAACTCGGAGGAACTTGCTCTCTCCAACCATGAATGCAACATCTCGAACTCTACGGTCGGCATAGCTCTTTTGCCTAGACTGAGCTGTGCGGAGTCGATCCTGAATAATCTTGACTTTGTCCAAGGTATCCTGTACCAAATCTATACCCAACAACCGAGCCTCCCCCGGTTCGAACCATCCAACTGGCGAATGGCACCGCCTCACGTATAATGCCTCATAGGGAGCTATCTGAATGCTCGACTGGTAGTTGTTGTTGTAGGTAAACTCTGCAAGCGGAAAGTACTGATCCCGAGAACCCCCGAAATAAATAACACAATCATAAAGAATATCCTCCAATATTTGAATAGTGCGCTTGGACTGTCCGTCCGTTTGAGGATGCAATGTTGTGCTCAACTGAACATGCATGCCCAACTTACGTTGGAATGCTCTCCAGAAGTGCAAGGTGAACTACGTACCTCGATCATAAATGATAGACACGGGCACGCCGTGAAGACGGACGATCTCGCGAATGTAAATCTCAGCTAACTGCTCTGAAGAATAGGTAACTGCCACAGGAATGAAATGCGTTGACATGGTCAGCCTGTCCAAATTGACCCATACCGTGTCAAACTTCCTCTGAGTCCGTAGGAGTCCAACAATAAAATCCAAAGTGATATACTCCCGCTTCCACTCGGGAATCTAAAACTTCAGAAGCAAACTACCAGGTCTCTAATGCTTGTACTTCACTTGCTGACAATTTATACACCGAGCTACATATGTAACTATATCCTTCTTATTCCTCCTATACCAATAATACTGCCGCAAGTCCTGATACATCTTGCCAGCACCCAGATGAATAGAATATCGGGAACTGTGGGCCTCCTAAAGAATCAACGCACAAAGCCCATCCACAATAGGCACACAAATACGATTTTGCATCCTCAAAAACCCATCATTTCCAACAGTAACCTGCTTTGCACCACCGTGCCGCACTATGTCCCTGAGGACAAGAAAATGTGCGCCATCATACTTCCACTCTCTGATGCGCTCATACAGGGAAGACCGAGCGACTGTGCAAACTAGAACACGACTAGGCTTGACAACCTCTTGTCGGTTGACCTCCACCTCTAGCGGTCTAACTGTCACCTCTAACAGCCCGACCTCTACCTCTAACGATCTGACCTCCACCTCTAACGGCCTGACCTCCACCTCTAATGGCCTGACCCCTGCCCCTAGCTGGTTGAGCGGGCGGTGGAGCAACAGGTACCGGAATTATGGCACAAGAACTCTATTGTTGCGTGCCGCCCAATAATCTTGGACAGGACCTCATGATATGCCCAATACGACCACACTCAAAACACCCATCCTCCTGATGTGGCTACTAAAACTGAGTTGACCCGAACGGGCCGGATAACCATGGTGATAATTCTTAATCAGAGGCGCACTGATATGAGCTAATGGTGCACTATAGGCTGGCTGCCCAAAATAAGGCACATAAGGATCGCGACTCCCTAGAGCACTGTGAGATGCCTGAAGCGCAGACTGAAATTGCCTGGGAGGATGGCCTCTACCAAAAGTAGGCTACCTCCGTATAAGGCGAAATTGAAACCACCGATATGACGAGGCCTCTTACCTGACCCCTGCCCCCTCTCTTGAGCAAGAACCAAATCGATACGACTAGAAACATTGGCAGCTATACCCATGTTCCGCAGCATGAGAACTGCTCCCAGATAAGTGCAGGCGACCCAGCTGGTGTTCCTACCACGACTATTTGATTTACAAGTTACTCTAACTTGTAAAGAAAACACTCACTCCAACTCACTAATTATTTGTGACACATTAATTACGACTCAATTTCCTAAAGCACATTCAGTAGACTGACTCAAGAAGACCACAACACTGGTACTCAATTAGAGTGTGCAAAATGTAGTTCTTTAGTTGATGTGTAAAAGGATAATCATAGAAGTCCAAAATAGATAGTATTTAAACGTCAGGACTTCAAGATCGTCTAGGAGTCCTATTCATAGTCAGCTTTTTGTTTGATAGGACTCCTACTGTTCCAAGGACTCCATAAGTTTTGGGACTCTTATCTCTTACTGATTTATTCTTAGCTTCTTGGGCAACAACCTAATCATATGTAGTAGCCTTCTTCCACCAAACTCGGATATGAGTAACTTTGAGATAAAGTTATTGTCTTGCATAGATGTATAATCATCAACCTTAGGAGCTGGTCCTTTACCCTGAGGAGCTGGTTCGTAGAACAGTTAAGCATAGTTGAGGACTTGGTTATTCGAACATTGCATCTAAACAAACTTTGTTAATCATCAAAATCTCAATACTCAAAAAATTCCCCCTTTTTGATGATGACAAACTTTTTACATACTAGAACCAGGTAATTACACCAAGTCAAGTCGTGATCAATCACCATGCACGTTACACCATGGACAGACATATTCACAACAACACCCCCAACTTTATCTTCCTCCTTTTGGCATCATAAAACAAATGATAGACATATTAAGCACAGTTAATGTAAGATTCAAGGCCAAACATAATATAACACAAGCTCAAAAATTATCAAAGAAAACAAACTAGGTTGATGATCCAATATTGTACAAAGCATTAAACAGCATAAGAGAAGTCATTTAGTAGTGCCAAAATAAGCTTGGGGCCGTGTAACGACCCGACTTGTCATTTTAAGAATAAATGCCCCATTCAGAGACTTAATTAGAAGACTTGTGTGTGTGGTTGAGTTTTATTTTTGGAAGGTTCAAAATTTAATTAGATGAACAATCCTTATTTTTGAAGATCAAATAAAAAGAGTTGACCAGAGTTTGACTTTTGAGCAAACGACTCCGGAATGGGATTTTGATGGTGTCAATATAGCTTCGTATGGTGATTTCGGACATAGGCGTATGTCGGAATTTGGATTTGGAATTCCGTAGGACAATTCAACGCATTTTGGTGAAAGTTGGAAAATGAAAGATTTTTAGAAAGTTTGACCGGGAGTTGACTTTATTGATATCAGGGTCGAAATTCGATTCCGGAAATTGGAACAGCTCCATTATGCATTTTTGACTTGTGTGTAAAATTTGAAGTCATTCCGGATTGATTTGATATGTTTCGGCACAATTATAGATTTTGGAAATTTCATAAACTCATAAGTTTGATTCGAGGTGCGATTCATAGTTTCGATGTTGTTTGATGTGATTTGAGGCCTCGACTAAGTTTCTATTGTGTTTTAGATCTTGTTGGTATATTTGGTTGGGGTCCTGGGGGCCTCCGGTGTGTTTTGGATGTTATCAGGTCATTTTGGGCTACTTTGGATGCTGGTTTTCTGATGTCTGATGTTTTTCTTAGCGTTCTCGAGGTGCCTCTTGCGTTCGCGAAGAAGGATTTAGCTTCTGGGAATTTGTTCGTCGCCCTCGCGAAGAAGGAATTCCTGTTGACCGTCACCCGACTTCGGAAGCTTGTATCTTGCAATCTATCCAAAAATAAAAGTTGTAGACCTTCGTGTCTAGTTTTCGGAAATGTAAACCATTTGGAATTTGGAGTTGTGTACAAAATGTTATGGTGCATACACTACAGGCTATCTGGGAAGAGTTTAGAAATCGCGAAGAAGAAATTGTTGTTTCACATGGCTGACTTTGGAAGCTTATATCTCGAAATCTATACGGAATTGGGAGATGAGCGAAACATGAGCATTTGGAGGTCGATTCGCTATCGAAATTTGATAAAATTGGTATGGTTGAACTCGTATCGGAATGGGTACCTTCAATCCGCACATAAGACGATTCCTCTTTCTATACTCAATTACGTAAGAGTCCAGCTAGCTCGTCTCTGTCTGGCAGTTTCAGCCTTGGCCCACCAGCTTCTTTTCAATCTAGGAGCGATTCGTATTTCGTGAAAATTCTGTCGGGTTTCGATAGGCAGGCCCGTGTTGACTTTTTAGAATAAAATTTTAAGTCGTCATTTTATTATCTAGAATTATTTCCGATGAATTTTAATAAATTAAAGTTATTCATTTAATTTGGATAGATTTTAATTGTCCGGAGGTCAATTCAAGCAAGAAGGCTATTTTTGAATATCGGCCTAACTTCAAAAATTTATGTATCTTGGATAACCTTGAGTGGGGGAATTACCCCTTAGGCATTGAGTCATATGTGGTAATTGGGTAATTGAAAACTATGTACGCGAGGTGACGAATGCGTACTTGGTTTATATGTGAAAATTATATCGGTTAAAATCTGTAGACGCCCTTATGTATTAAATTGAAAATTATTGGGACTTATTAAATACTTTACGTGTCATACCTCATTCGTCGTTTGCCGAGCTAGTTTTTATATGATAATTTGGCGTGATTACCACTTGAAATTTTATGCGAATTATGTGTGTTTGTTGATTTGATATTCCTTGGAAATAATCACCTTATGGATTTTTGATGACGTCTAAATCCACTACTAAAAAGTAAATGGACACAGTCGCATGCAATATAATTTACCCAACTATGAGTCGGGGTTGAATCCCATAGAGAACAATATGTAGGCGATTAGGAATGTAAGAGAATTATCACTTATTATGCAATGCCAAACACTTAGAATGCTTGTTGAGAAAATATTATAGTTAAATGCGTAGATGTAAGCTAACCTAGAAAGCACGTAAAATGATCAATGGCTGTAAGTATAGATACAATGGGAATTACACTCAAGTAACGATCCAATATATTTTACAATTTTATAAATATGAGCGAGTTTGTGTTAATTAGTCTCGGATAATAATTCTATATTATCTTTTCTCGAAAACTAACAAGACTTCCTAATTGAATTATCCCTAAAACAATTAAGAGATTAAGCACACCCGAATATGGCTACAAGTAGTTCATTCCTATCCCTAGGTAGAATCTATAAAGTGAGGGTTAACACCTCAAGTTCTTGTTAATTAATCTTTCCCAACCCCGAATTATTTTTCTCAAAATTAATCCAAAGTGAATGGGGGAGTCCTAGGGTTAGCTAATTCCTTTGGAAACATTCAAGAACAAGAATGATTAAAGAAACAATAACTCACTTCGTAATAAATAAAAATCTTTCCATACATAAGCACAACAAGGTATTTAATCCACACTTTAAATATGAATATTCTCATAAACAAGATTCAAATGCTGGGAAAAATACTACACACTTAAATATTCAATACAAGGCAAGGAAATGAAGAAATGAGCATAAATGAGTAAGAAATTCTCAACCAAAAGCTTCAAATCTTCAAGACCCAAGTGTGTGTACAAGAACCCTAGCTCCAAAACTTGTCTTCTCTAGTCTAAGAGACTGAAAAATAAGCCAAAGATAATCCAAGATTGAGTTAGGTCATGTATTTGTGTGTTTGGAGTTGAGAAAATATGAAATGTCATTACTGCCCAGGTCTGAAGCACGTTGACCGCACCTACGGATCTCCTATCGCAGATGCGAAGCTTAAGGGAAACTCTGGATCCACAGAAGCGGACTTGCATGCGCAAATGCGCTTACGCAGATGCGGTTTTCAAGTGCATGTGCGCCCACGCAGATGCGAACTTCAAGTGCAGGTGCGCTTACGCAGATGCGCTGATCAAATCACAGATGGGATTCTTGCCTTCCATGTCTTCTTCCACAAATGCGGTAATTTCCTCGCAGATGCGAGATCACAAAAGCGACAAGTGTTCCGCAGATGCGGAATCACTGAAGATTTTTGCATTCTTTTACTCTTTTTTGCTCAACTCCACTTCAATTGAATTCAAATCACTTCATGGCATCATTTACCTGAAAATCTGACAATACACACCATAAACGACCTCACATTATAATTAAAGGACGCAAAATCTAAAGAAAAGAGGCTAAAATAAGTGGTAAAATCACCACTCATCAATTTTCACCTATAAATAATTAATTAAATAAGTTTAAATTGATGTATTAATGTAATTATTAAGATTTTGGATTAATGAAGGTGTTTCCCTATACTAAGTTATTTGTCCATCTCTGTTGTTGTTGTTATTGTTGTTTTTGATGTGTTATATACGTTGTGTCGAGCCTTGGGCTATTTGTTGTAAATTTTATTGATTTTGTTGTATCTTTGGAATTTGTTGTGGCCATTGGGCAATTTGTGATATGAATTGATTGTGTTATGTTGTCGTTATAATGTTCCATGTGAATTGTTGTGTAATTTGAGTTATTATTATGAGGAGATAAGGGTGGCATTCCACTGTTGATATTGTGTGGGTATAAGGGTGGCATTTCACTGTAGTTATGTGTATTGGGATATTGTCTAAGCAGACTGATAAGGGTGGATATTATACGGAGCGATAAGGGTGGCAATATGAGCGATAAAGATGCCTATAAGAGCGATACAGGTGGCTATTGATATTGTGCAGGTGTAAGGATAGTGGTGGCTATTATTATGGAGTGATACGGATGACTATAGGAGAGATAAGGGTGGCTAGTGTCACGGATGATATGTGATGATGTGTGATTATTGTGTTGGTGATTTTTATGTGATGTTATGATTTCCTTGTGACTTCTTTTACATATTGTGCAATTTATTTTATAAATTCAGTAAATTTGATAATAGTCAGATATATGTTGAAATCATGTGCACGTGGATATTGCCGGGCGGATTATGATATGGGCACGAGGTGCCAGGGAAATATGATGAACTTTATATTGGCAACTGAATTGTC